TTATTTGTTAAACTTATTTAAAATAGGTATATTTCTCCTAGGCTTCTTGGCATGCACACAAAGTATGAATTGATGAATCAGATTGAAATCATCAACTCAAAAGCCCTTCAGGGGAAAAGTGAAGCCAAGCCTGTCTAGAGACAGACAAGGAATCCGGGCTGGACCTCTTCAGCTCCCCTACCTTTCTCTCTCTCAGACCTGTACCCATGCCCACCGTCAATCACCAGCTGTTCCCATTTTTCACTCCACCAGGAATACCCACGTTAGAGTTGGCCCCCACCTGAACAGGAACCCTATGAAGTCCTCCCTGTTATGTGTACCTGTGGTTCTCAAACTTCAGAAAACACTAGAATCACCTGGAGGGCTTATTAAACTATGGTTTGCTGAGCCCCAGCCCTGATGATTCTGATTGAGTACATCTGGAGTAGGGCGTGAGACTCTGCCCATCTAGCAAGTTCCTAGCAGTGCTGGTGCTACTTACTGGTCCAGGGATCACGCTGTGAGGATACCTGGGGTGCCTTCTCTCTTTGACCTTTCTCTCTGGCTTTGCCACCTGTCTTATTCTATTAGTGCTTGAGTCACTCTCCTATCCAGGTTGCTTCCAGTCACACGGGAGCTGTCTCGGCCATGGATCAGGCCACCTGGCCACCACGGCTCTCTGGTCCTTCTTTATCCTCATCTCAGGGATTGAAAGCCAACCTATGCCCTTGCCCCCAATTTCTTGCTTTATCTTCAACTTCCTTCCATCAAACTCTCCCCTTTCCTAAATCTTTAATTCCTTCCTCTGACCTGTTCAAATATCCTCAAATCTCTGCCATCCATAAATTGAGAGACATAAAAATATAAGCAAACCGGGACGCCTGGGTGGCTCAGTTGGTTAAGCAGCTGCCTTCGGCTCAGGTCATGATCCCAGTGTCCTGGGATCGAGTCCCACATCGGGCTCCTTGCTCATCAGGGAGCCTGCTTCTCCCTCTGCCTCTGCCTGCCATTCTGTCTGCCTGTGCTTGCCTGTTAGAACAGCCTGAACTAAGACAGTCCCATAGGAAATTAAATGCTACTGAATTTTCATAGGAGGTAATGTGCTTAATACACTATTTTAGAAAGTTAAGTAAGTAGATAATAATAGCTGGTATTTTCTGAGAACTTGCTATGGATCAATTATTTTGCCAAAACCTTTCCATGAATATTTAATTAAAAAGAGATTTTTTTCAGGGACTCAGGTGGGGCTCAGTTGGTTAAGCTTCTGCCTTTGGCTCAGGTCATGATCCCAGTGTCCTGGGATCGAGTCCCACATCGGGCTCCTTGCTCATCAGGGAG